TGTGTGTGTGTGTGTGTGTGTGTGTGTGTGTGTGTGTGTGTGTGTTTGTAGATGGCGTACCTACGCAGGCTATTCGTCTACCCGGATCACCCTTGAAGCCATCGTCACAAATGCAGTCTCCCAGCGAGGACTTTGCGATGCCGTTAGTGTGCGAATGCTGTGGACATTCCTCGCAATCGTTCGACACGTCTCTCTTAAACGTGTTCTTCCTGCAAACTGAGAGAGAATGCGCCACATATACTACAATGTACACTAGTAGCATAGCATAATAATAAATTTTTAATAGTGATATACTTGTGTAAATAAAATGCAATATAATCAATATCTATAAAACCATGATCATATGTTTAACCGTATTTCGCTCCGATTACACGATGAAGTTAATTTACTCTTAAATAAAATACTTGAGAATAATCAGCTAACAAAAAATTTGATAAAGGAGGTTATAGTTTTCGAAATGTTGAAACGAAGCGCTAACGATGAGGAAACCTGAGAACGAAAAATGTAGTTTGAGAAATGCAGCGGTAGTCTCAGAATAAAGAAGGTATTTTAAGAATAAAGGGTATACTTTGAAAAATGCAATCGTTTAAGAGACAAATCTCGTACTCTTCAGCTAAACCGTCAAAAAATTATTATATATATAGTATTTTAATTGGTAACTTGAAAAATAAATGGCCTACGTCTAAAAATATTAAGGAAACAGAAACCACAGAAAAGTAAACATTTGAAAGCACCTCCTAAAAAAGCTTGGCCTATAAGCGGTCACATCACGATGACGCACATGTCGTTGTCACAAGTCCAGTTGCTCTGCATCGCCCAGCTGTGTTGGTATGAACTGAGAGCAACATATATGTTCTCTTCTCGAGGTATAAAGAGTTTTTCATCGTGTACATACCGGGTGTCACACAACCCATACAAGTCAGAGTGGGTGTCCCTAGTACAGTATTTTAGCCGACAAGATGTCTGTAATACACGGACCAGTTTCGTCAGACAGTGGGCCAACTCCCTGCAGCAAACTGACTCCGTACCAATAGCCATTGCTTGGCAGTTACCAATATTCACACCTGCATGAAATACACCATGCAAATACAAAGTGCTAGTGGTACGACAAAGTGAGGTGCACCAGTAGTATCACATATTCATTTACCAAAGTTTGAGAAGTAGTTGGGTATTTTTTAGTAACAGCAGTTCGAACTCAGAAAACGTATAGCACTTTTGCCTCGTGCTCATAGATGATCTTCATTGATATATCTTCACCGCGGTTGTCTTTGTCCTCTGTAGTATATCACTGCTCTAAAACTCTGTTAAATGCTTATTTTACCCTATTCGCAAGCAGTAAAATTTGATATAGCTGAGTGAATATCTCAATGAACAATATTGAAATCACCCTTGATCGGAGCGCGGAAGTTTCGAATGTTAACCCATGCAGCGACATTACTGCATGTTGATTCTGACAATTTTTTTGAAATACGTGAGGAATATAAAAACATCTATGATCAAGAGCGTATTAAGCTATGCTATATTTAAGTGTAACCGGTTTTTTGACATTTCCAGAAATCGGATGTAAGACTTTGATTACGCGAGGGTTCCTTAATTACCATGGAAGCCGGTAATTTTCCCAAAGGTGAACAAGGCGAGAGTAGTAAAATCAGGTGCGCCATATAACTGACTAAAAACTAGTATGTATGTTACATGAATATCGTTATAAAACACGCTAGCATAGCAGATAATTATTTACGATAGGTGGCAGCTAATCGGAAGTTTGCTGATTCGATAAGAAACGACGGTGCATGCGTCCCTATACGAATGGTGCATTTTGGGAAATCAACGACAATTCTCCTGCTAAACTATGAATAGAGAAAGAGAACATTGGCGGAGAAATGTTGCTCGTGACTGTGTTGATACGCTAACAGGAATTGCGTTAACGACTAGTATTTCACAAAGAAAGCATATTTTACCAGGCCATGTTAAATATAGCATCAATATAACCGTTATTTCTTGATGTAGTTTTGCTCTGTGCAGCGTTGTTAGTTATGAAAGGATGGTACAGGTTAGGACATTAGACCGTAGACTTACGAGCACATTTTCTAGGATTTATCAGCGCCATAAAGTGACGAGGTTTTCTTATAACGCTCTACGATAAATATATGTTTGGACTATAACGAATCCTGCGATTAAGCCTTGTTCTAACAACGCCCCCTTCAGAGATATCTGTGGTTCCAGGGCCGTAGCCTGCGGGGGAGGGGGCAAGGGGTGCAGCTGCTCCCTAGATTTTGGAGCAAAAAAAAAAAAAAATTGTTCTACTAAAAGAGAATTGTCGTAGTCAGAATGAAGGTCATGTACTCAAAAGTGAAGTCACATGTACTCAAAAGTGCCTCAAATACCATCTCCTGCAATCTACATTTTCAAAATTTTATGTGGGAGGACCCCAGACCTCCAGTCCCCAATGTTTCTCACCCCCTCCTTGAAATCCTGGATACGCCACTGACCCCTAGGAATTTGCTCAGCCTACGGCCCTGGGTTCCTCTCACGTTTGTGTTTCGTCTCCACTGTGATTGATGCAAGGAGTCCCCACATCAGGGATGAATAATGACAAGTGGTTTGTCATTATTCACTCCTGCTCATAATCGACACGAATCAGACAAGCGACGATAAGAGGACAGTCTGGCCATGGCTGTGTGACGTGAGGGCGCATGCGCACTGGTGTGCGCTGGTTTAATTAAAACGCGTGCTGCTCCCGTCAAGGGTCCCTTCGCGCAGGATTTTTCAAAGTGCCTCCGCCATAATATGAGGCTAATACATTTTCGCGTGCGTCAACGGCGATATATTAAAATCCATCAGCGCTCTAAAGTGTAATTAAACCTCCGAAGCGTTATTTATTTCCAAGCATGAGGAAGGAATTGGGGGTCAAGTAAAATTTTCAGTCAGACGCGATTTTCACGCGTTTAAATTATTGCTGGTTTTGCATCAGCGACCGCAGAGAGCTTTATTGCCAATAATAAGAGACTCAACGCTTCATCAGTGCTCAGCATCATTGCAAAGCTGTAAATATCTCATTTCCATCCGAATTTAGCTCTCGTAGCAAACATAACTTCTATGTCTGTTATAACAACGATGCATGATTATCTATCTTTATACGATACCGTCGGACGACCGCCAATGATTTACTTGAAGGTGGAAAGTTGGAAAATTGGTTTGCGCAGGTGCGCGCTTACCTATATATAAGTAAGGAGTTGTCGCACTCATACGCACGGTCACTTAGAAATGCTCTCGCACGTACGTACGGACGCACACACAAAGACGTGCGCGCCTAAACCTGAACCCATTCACGCGCACAGTTACATGCGCACTATAACGCTTCACGTACACTCGCACGTGCACATACATACGTACGTAACATACATACATACGCACGCACGCACGCACGCACGCACGCACGCACGCACGCACGCACGGCAGGCACGCACGCACGCACGCAGCGCCACCGCACGCCCACACACACACACACACACACCACACACACACACACACACGAATCACGACACACACACACACACACACACACACACCACACTACACAGCACACACACACACACATACACACACATACACACACATACATATATACACTTAGCAACACACGCGCAAGTTACGTTATTCAGTACAAACCCACACGCCGCGTTAAAATCTTCAATTTGATCTAGTTTTGAAACACAATTTGCACGCTGATGTTATTAGTGCGAGCTAGTCTTGCTCGCGATGCAGGCGGGTAATCGATAGAAGCTGCGTCGTTGTCACCACACTTTATCTCTACAAGTAGCCGAGGAAAAACACCCAATTTAATGAGATAAAGTAGTCCGATCACTCTCCTGAATGAGTGTGCTTATACAGCGAAGACGCCACGAATAGGAAGACGAGCGAAAGCGCACGATAGAGAGAGAGAGAGAGTGGAAGAGTGAACGAGAGATAGAGAAGGAAAAATAGCAAGAGAGAAAGATAACGAGAGAAAAAGAGAATGCGAGCAGGCGCGCGAGAGGGGATGTGGGAGAAAAGGGGGAGAGAGAGAAAGGAGAGAAGGGGGGATGAAAATAGGGAAAGAGAATGACAGAAAGAAAAAACGGGAAAAGAAAGATAAAGAGAGAAAGAACAGTGAAGAAAGGGGACATCGCGGTTTGAAATTGAGATTCTCGAACGCCACGTAACTGAAATATTAGCTCATATAGCTTATATTAGCGTAAGAGATACGCATAATATAGAAATAGATGTCATCTATATGAAACATGTACAAGATGCGATGAGAAGAAAGGAGCGAGCTAGTAGAAGAAATCGGGAGGAGGGTGAGAACAGGAAAGCGAGGGAGAGATCACAATCATGATGAAGGAGAAGTAGGGGGAATATTAATAAAATATTATATAAATGAATACTATATTTCATATCTGACGTTGGGACGTAGAATAGTTAACGATAGCAAGGATTCGATGAGGAAATTAAACTGAGAGCTGAATTGAATTCGCGAACGAACAGGCCGAGAGCAAGCCAATGAATACATCACGACTTTCAGTATAACCACGTAGCGGATCCGCGCTTAGATCTGCGATTTTATATCGAGAGTAGTAAATGTGACACACAGCGCATTCTACGGTGGGTGTTGTGCGCGTATAAAGTACACTACGAGCAATTCTAGCAGAAAATATTCTGACTTATGAAGATATTATGAAGACGAAAATTACCACTGACTTGGCAATTCGAGATGGTGAGCCTCTGGCCATCACGTTTCGCCTAGATGTCAGGTTTGTCGTCAATGCTATATGCATAATAAACACATCCACTCGAGCTTTTGCAATCATACACGCGTGCTCACCCGACTAAACGCACTCAAATTACATGGTTTTGCAAGTTACTATTGCGCCAGGTTAGGTATATTAATATTCGGATTGCATGAGCCTCTGATATTTCAAAAAGATATTATATAGGTACACACAGACACACACAGACACACACACACACACACACACACACCACACACACACACACACTATACATACACACACACACACACACACACACACACACACACACACACACACACACACACACACACACACACACACACACACACACAC